AGTAAAAAGACATTTAGTTTGAGTGCAGCCCAGATCTATTCCCCAAACACCATAATGTCTTTGAATCCAAAGCTCCTGCCTCCTGCCAATTACCTCCCAAAGACAGATTCGATCGCACAGGCTTGGCCTTCTCTGGGTTCCATCTGCCAGCCAATGTCGGCTGGCGACCCCCCCCGGGGAGACCCTTCTCTGTTGCTGCTCCGGCACTCTGGAACGAGCTCCCCATGGAGATCCGGACCCTTACTACCCTCCTAGCCTTCCGTAAAGCTACTAAGTCCTGGCTGTTCCTGCAGGCTGGGGGCTGTTGAAATACCCAGCCCCACTTCAATTGTGAATGTTGTGTATTTTAATTTGTTGTATCGTCTTATTTATCCCCTTTACCTGTTTTATTGTAAGCCGCCCGGAGTCCTTTGAGAGTGGGCGGCATACAAAACTAATAAAACAAACAAACAAACTGAACTTTCTGGTTTTCCCCACCATCCAGTCATAGCTATAGAACATTCTTGGAGAGAAACATCTTCAAAGAAAAACCAGAAAGTCCATCTGTCTCTTTGGGACATCATTGGTTAGTCTTCTTTAAAAACATGTTGAATAGATTTAATGGTATTATTGAAACTTTCAGAAATACTATTTGATTCTTGAAAGCATAAATGAAGTGTAGTTTTATATAGACATTCTGGCACAATATAGGTACAGAAAACAGTGAGGCTTTGATCATGTGGTTACAACCACCATCTTGACTTTTGATTCCTCCTATATGAAACACATATACTTCCCTGGAGGCCCATGTGATCAACTGATCAACTTGAGCATGAGAATTACTAAAGCTTTGAATTTTAGTTTTTAATGAAAATATTTTTGTCTCATGCATGGTATCTCTGTGCAGGGTAAAAATTATAAACACAATTGAATATAATAAAATGCAGTGACATATAGAAATAACATGCAACAATAGAACCACATTAAACAGGTATAAATAAACTATAGAAAATACATTGGCTTTCATTCATCTGGAAACAGCATGATGGCTTGAAATGTTGCTTCAAATGCCAACATTAATAATAATAAAAAAATCTCTGCACCTAAAATAAAGAAGGTTGGCATAGTTTTCAATTTGAAGAGGAGTGTTTTCCAGAGAATGAATGAATAGATTAATTGTTCCCAGGATGACACTCACTAAGTTCTAGATATTTCTTATTTATTCTCTTCAGTTCATTCGGTTTTTTTTAAAGAAAAGAGGGTTTTTTTAGTATGCTAATGTAATCATAAAAAATAACTGTGACCTAATTAGTGTGACTGCTATTTGAAGAAAGGACAAGAAGTTTATACAAAGCTTGAGTATTTGTTTTAGAAGTTCATTCCTCTATGTTTCTTTCATGGTTGTTGTTGTTGTTTTTAAACTAGATTGCCATATAGTATGACATTTTCTTGCAAGATGTTAAGGTCAACTCAATGCAGCACCTATTTTGAGATGTTTATTTGCAATTAAAAATAGACGGTTTTAGGAAATAAACACTAATGTTTTGCTTTGTGGACAAAGGTCCATATAGTATCCCAGGGAACCTTATAGGGAACCGATAAAATATAATTTTGTCTGTGTGTATGTGGCTTTGAATCAAGTTTTTTTTTCCCTGGTGACTGCCTGGACACATCTGCAGTTTTCATGGCAAAGCTTTTTGGAAGTGGTTTCTTCCTTGCATCCTTCATAGAGGTGAGAGAAAGATTGGTTGACCCAAAGTCACTCAGCTATCCTCAAGCAAGATTCATCCTTGCAAAGTTTGGACAGGAAGCATGCCCATATGACTTTATTCTAGTGTATTATAATATTATATTAACAGAATGTTGAAAGACTGAAACTATATTTCATCCCCTGTCACCTTTGCAGCCCAAGGAACTCTGGAGGGTTCCATCTAAAACACCTTCATTCCTGTTGCAGGCTAAGATGCCTCTTACCTAACCATTGCCCTGGCTGTGGCTTTTTCCCTGACTCCCAACATCATTACCACATACCATGCAAATGTTCATGGAAAGGAATCTTAACAGATGCTCTGGGATGTTAAGAATTGGCAGTAAATCAGGTACAGAGTAGTAAAGGCAAGCCTCTAAGACTGATGTTGGCTTGGTATGGCCACAGCATTCTTCTGGTCATCTGGGATAAATAGGCCAGGTGTAGGTCTGAACAACCTGATTAGTAAAAAGTAATTTCCAGGTAATTAAAGCATCCATCTTGCTCCATTTAGTTGCTATGAATAAACCAGTTATTAATTTTAAGTCTCTTATGAAGACCATAATTTTCTGGTTTTGATCATTTATCACAGTATTTTTCTTCACAATATTAAGCAAAGAATTTTAAGGTCCTTTGCATTCTTATCATGGAAGGGAGAGAATATTCCATGGAAACTAAAAAAAGTCTGTCAGCTAATTCTGGAACCTGGAAATTACTGTTGTTAAGACATATAACTGAGTTCACATATTAGTGGTGCAAGAACACCCACTTTCTTTACATCCCATATAGTGTTGATCATATGTTTAGCCATCCTTGGAAGCCATATCTGACTCTTACATTGATAATTACTTGTCATATTAGGATATGCTAATGTCTTCCCTAATTTCTCTTTAGATATAAAATGAAAGCAGATTTAAAGTTTGCAAAAGCTGCATAAAGTGAATGTTTAGCTCCATTAGTACATTTCCCAACTAGATGTTGTGATATCACTGTTTGAAGTCTGTAGATATTTCTGTCCCAAATCCCACTTGTTTTTCTACAAGAATAACATTGTCCTCAATCAAATCATGGTTTCCCAAATAAGTAGATTTTATTAATTACATGCCAGAGACTGATTGGCAATAATTAGCAGGATTTTTCTTTTGCCTTTTCTTCACACATAGGAACCATGATGGTTTTCTGGAATACAAGTGGTGTTATCATTGTGTTTAAAAAGTGATGCCAGTATAGAAGCCCATCAATTAATATTGATTCTAAAAACTCCATAGGAATAAGATGACTGTACTTCAATTGCTCAAATGGTTGTCTCATATTGGATGGCAGCACAGAAGGTTTTTAGGAGTTATTGTAATGTCCAAGTTGCTAGATTTTGGGCGTCATATAACACATGAAACTAGACTTCTCTGGTCATCTAAGATACATGGCATTAGAATTTTGCAACTAGGTTTTTTGATACATGATTCCAAAATGTTTGTGAAACATTCAATTTTGCAACTTTAGTCACTTGGAGATGATTGCATCTCTTTTTTAAGATACTTACATGACCTTTTATTGCTATTAAAGTTTGAGGATTTCTAAAGCTATTGTTATTCCTGTAGCCATAGACAAGTTTTATTCTCAGCTATCTGAGATCCTTATCAAATGATGATTTAAAATTTGCTGTCCTACAGTGCCTACCTTCCCTTCCCTTGATTATTAGAAGCTCCTGTAACTTCCTAATTAGATTTCCAAGAGCTAATAATTTGTTGGCCTCATTGGCAACCATATTATATTGAATTTATTGCATCATTTCTGAGTATTGTAGCTAATGAACAACATTGTTTGCTTTAGCTGATCATTTTCTTCTCTTCTTGTTCCTTACATCTTCTAGTTAAAGTTGATAAAACATATTGGTGTATATTTAAACCTCAGGTAATTTTAAATTTTAAATTATTGGGACATGGTTGCTTAATGATCTAGCCACTGCCACTTATAAATTGTGCTCCTTTCTTATAGCTTGAGTACATTTATTTCTATTACATTTATGTTTAAGATGGGATAAATCAGAGCAGGGGTGGGTTTCTCGCCCCGTTCCAACCGGTTCGGTTGGAACGNTCTGGAAGAGAAATTTGGATCTCTTTTGCCGCCGTAACATGAAGGCTGCCTGCATCCAGTCCGTTGTCCAGACTGAAAAAAAAAAAACCGATCGGTTGACCCACCTGACGGCTTGTCGGTCGAAGTCGGGACGCTGGTGACGGGTGGCATAGTCGGGAGGCTTGGCGGCAGAGCCTTCAAATTCTGGTCGCTCTGTATTTCGTTGGTGGATATTTGGTTGGTGATGCGGTTGTACGTGGGCGGCTGGTAGACGCGATTCGGCGGCTGCTGCGGCTGGAGGACCGTCTTGAGGCCCGGCGTTCTTTGGCAGTGCTCTTCCAGCTGGGCGATCACCGTCGATTGATTATTGGCGATGGTGACCAGGGTTTGGTACTTGTGCTCCAGGTCCTTATACTTATTAGCCAGCTGCAGCATATCGGCTGTCTGGTTCAAGATCCTGTTCTCCAGCTGGGAGAGCTCCAGTGCGTTGTCCCGCTTCCGGATGATCTCGTGCAGCAGCTGCATGTATAGCTGGGTGACGCGGGAATTCATGTTGCGGCTCTCTTTCCGCAGCAGCTTGACCTCGCTGACGATGCCGCCGTCCACCTCCACCAGCTGCTGCAGGGTCTCTATCTGCCTCTTCTGCTTCAGGAGCTCGTGGTTGAGAAGGTCCACCTCTTGCTTGTTGACCCTGTTCTCTAGGAGGATGGCGTCCGGTTCCTTGGAGTTCACGCAAATGGCCCCAGTTACCTTTTGCTGTGGGACAATGAATGTGTAGGTGCATTTCTCCTGCGCCTCGCTGGAGCGCCTGTATCGGTGTCCGTAAACGAATTCTCGCGTCCCTCCTGCCACGCGGGTTTCGACACCTTCGGGCTTCTGAGCGTTGATTCCCACGGCGGCCATTAGCAGCCAGCACACCGCTGCCTTCATTGTCCTTATTTCAGAAGGGACGGATTTATTTTATTATCTGCAGTCAACATAAAACAAATGGGAGATAGTGAATATAGCGATAACAAGAGCCCTTAGACTTATGTACCGCTTCATAGTGCTTTACGGCCCTCTCTAAGCGGTTTGCAGAGTCAGCCTNCCAGCCAGCTCCACAAGTCTTAAAGTTGCCAAATTTGGGGAATCCCTGGTTTAGATACATTTAAAAACAAACAAACACCATTGTCCCTTGTACGCACAGACACTGTGGTTTTTGTTAAAGTTTTACTTAAAGGAGCGTTGAATCGGATTCGTGTGCCAGAGGAAAGCGAAAATCCGATTTCCCGGACCGTAACACAACAGAAGGAGAAGAGACACAGGTCCGTAAAGTTGTTAGCGTTTTGAAAAGCAACACTTATTTTAAAACACATCCCATGAATTAAGAGTTTTAAAAGTTTCGTTGTCTTAGGCTGTGTTTTACAAACCGTCAAAACTCATTTCACAGATGCAGTTGATTCACAACTTTGGCATTTCAGTATCTTAGGCTAAAGTTTATAAACATAGACGCTGAAGTTTTTAAAAAAAAAATGAAAGGAAACCGCAGAGAAAATCTTAGCATTTGAAAACTCCTTTGGATTCCTGTTGCTAAAATCCCTCCTCAGCCTCCCGTAACAGCTGACAACCCGAAGAAAAACTTACCGAAAAGCAAGCTTTGTTTTCCAAAGTTTTGTTTTTTTGGCTCTGCAAAATATCGTATGGCCAACCGATTATCCTGTTAAATTGCAAAATGTTGCTCGTATCCTCCTTTTGCCCTCTCTTTTTCTTTTTCCCCTTGAGGTTCTTTCTTCCAGCTTCAAGCTTGCATTTTTTACTATTTCTCCTTGATGTTTCCTTTTAAATCAAGAATCCACCAGCCCGGTTCATCCCTGGAAATAAGGACACGATGCCAAATAAACATAGCAAAACATAGAAGCCCAGCTTCTACGGCGGGGAGAATAAAGTTCTGGTTGCAAAGCAGAACAAGGGAAGGTTTGACCTTCCTTATTGTGGGAATCCGTCTCCCTGGACGCTGATCGCCGGGTCCATCCGTTGGAGCGGAGGAACAATAGGCGTCCTTTTCTATTTGCAAGGTCTTCTGCCTCTCGGTGATTCAACTCTTCAGTTACTCCAGCCTGATATATCGGCTCCTTTGTGGTGGGTAGGATGTCCACGGCGGAGGAGGGAAGGGATGACAATCGAGCAGTGCGGTGAGCAGGAACACGTTCTGGTTGGGTAAACCTCCATTTACACCCACCCACCCACCCTCCCATCAAGTCAAGGAGCCACACCGACAAAGGGGAAGACCCCCGAGGGCCTCCTTCCACAGGGCTGGCTGGAAACGGCTTTTTTTTNGTAGACTTCCCTAAGGAGCTACGTGTAAGATGGAGGGGGAAGCAGATCACTCTTCATGCTAAGTAGAATGGAAGGTAGAATTGGGAAGGGGAGGGAAGGGAAGGGAAGGGAAGGGAAGGAAGGAAGGAAGGAAGGAAGGAAGGAAGGAAGGAAGGAAGGAAGGAAAGAAAAGAGAAAGGATAGAGAGAAGGAAGAAGATGGAGGGAGGGAAGGGAGATTAAAAGAAGGGAGGAACAGAGGGAAGGAAGGAGATGGAGGGAAGAGGAGATGAAAAGTGAAGGAGAGGGAGGGAAGGAAAAGAAGGATGCAGGGAAGGAAGGAGATGGAAGGAAGATTAAAAGAAGGGCAGGACAGAGGGAAGGGAGGGAGGAGATGGAAGGAGGGAAGGAAAAAGGGAAGGAGGAGATGAAAAGCGGAGGGGAGGGAGGGGAGGAAGGAAATGAGATAGAAAGAAAAAGAAAAGAGGGATGGAGGGAAGGAAGGAGATGAAGAGAAGTGAGGGAGAGGGGAGGCAGGGGGAAAGGAGCTGAAAAGAGGGAGAGAGGAAGAAAAGGAAGGAGATGGAGAGACGGAAGGAAGGAAAAGAGAAAGAATGGAGGAGAGGAAATGAAATGGAAAGAGAGATGGAGGGAATGAAGAAGATGAAGAGAAGGGAGAGAGGGGAGGCAGGGAGAAAGGAGATGAAAAGGAGAGAGGAAGAGAAGGAAGGACAGGAAGAGCAGAGGGAGGGAAGGAGCGAAGGAAGGAAGAAAGGAAGGAAGGAAGGAAGGAAGGAAGGAAGGAAGGAAGGAGATGAAAAACCAGAATCCCTTAACAGCAATCTTACTAACTTAACAACTGTAGCAATTCATTAAACAAGCGTGGCAAGAAAGATCGTGAAAATGGGGGGCGGGGACTCACTTAACAACCGTCTCGCTTAGCAATAAAAATCTTGGCCAAGGACCACCATAATGCCAATATGGCCACCGCCCGGCTATCTGGAAGAGAAATTTGGATCTCTTTTGCCGCCGTAACATGAAGGCTGCCTGCATCCAGTCCGTTGTCCAGACTGAAAAAAAAAAAACCGATCGGTTGACCCACCTGACGGCTTGTCAGTAGAAGTCGGGACGCTGGTGACAGGTGGCATAGTCGGGAGGCTTGGCGGCAGAGCCTTCAAATTCTGNGGAAGGAAAAGAGAAAGGATAGAGAGAAGGAAGAAGATGGAGGGAGGGAAGGAAGGAAGATTAAAAGAAGGGAGGAACAGAGGGAAGGAAGGAGATGGAGGGAAGAGGAGATGAAAAGTGGAGGAGAGGGGGGGGAGGAAGAAAGGAAAAGAAGGATGCAGGGAAGGAAGGAGATGGAAGGAAGGAAGATTAAAAGAAGGGAGGAACAGAGGCAAGGGAGGGAGGAGATGAAAGGAGGGAAGGAAAAAGGGAAGGAGGAGATGAAAGGCGGAGGGGAGGGGAGGAAGGAAATGAGATAGAAAGAAAAAGAAAAGAGGGATGGAGGGAAGGAAGGAAATGAAGAGAAGTGAAGGAGAGGGGAGGCAGGGGGAAATGAGCTGAAAAGAGGAAGAGAAGAAGAAACGGAAGGAAGGAAAAGAGAAAGGATGGAGGAGAGGAAGGGAGGAAATGAGATGGAAAGAGGGATGGAGGGAATGAAGAAGATGAAGAGAAGTAAGGGAGAAAGGAGATGAAAAGAAGGGGAGAGGAAGAGAAGGAAGGACAGGGAGAGCAGAGGGAGGGAAGGAGCAAAGGAAGGAAGGAAAGAGATGAAAAACCAGAATCCCTTAACAGCCATCTTACTAACTTAACAACTGTAGCAATTCATTAAACAACCGTGGCAAGAAAGATCGTGAAAATGGGGGGGGACTCACTTAACAACCGTCTCACTTAGCAATAAAAATCTTGGCCAAGGACCACCGTAATGCCAATATGACCACCGCCCGGCTGTCTGGAAGAGAAATTTGGATCTTTTTTGCCTCCGTAACACGAAGGCTCCCTGCATCCAGTCCGTTGTCCATACTGGGAAAAAAAAAACCTCGGTTGACCCACCTGACGGCTTGTCGGTCGAAGTCGGGACGCTGGTGACGGGTGGCATAGTCGGGAGGCTTGGCGGCAGAGCCTTCAAATTCTGGTCGCTCTGTATTTCGTTGGTGGATATTTGGTTGGTGATGCGGTTGTACGTGGGCGGCTGGTAGACGCGATTCGGCGGCTGCTGCGGCTGGAGGACCGTCTTGAGGCCCGGCGTTCTTTGGCAGTGCTCTTCCAGCTGGGCGATCACCGTCGATTGATTATTGGCGATGGTGACCAGGGTTTGGTACTTGTGCTCCAGGTCCTTATACTTATTAGCCAGCTGCAGCATATCGGCTGTCTGGTTCAAGATCCTGTTCTCCAGCTGGGAGAGCTCCAGTGCGTTGTCCCGCTTCCGGATGATCTCGTGCAGCAGCTGCATGTATAGCTGGGTGACGCGGGAATTCATGTTGCGGCTCTCTTTCCGCAGCAGCTTGACCTCGCTGACGATGCCGCCGTCCACCTCCACCAGCTGCTGCAGGGTCTCTATCTGCCTCTTCTGCTTCAGGAGCTCGTGGTTGAGAAGGTCCACCTCTTGCTTGTTGACCCTGTTCTCTAGGAGGATGGCGTCCGGTTCCTTGGAGTTCACGCAAATGGCCCCAGTTACCTTTTGCTGTGGGACAATGAATGTGTAGGTGCATTTCTCCTGCGCCTCGCTGGAGCGCCTGTATCGGTGTCCGTAAACAAATTCTCGCGTCCCTCCTGCCACACGGCTTTCGACACCTTCGGGCTTCTGAGCGTTGATTCCCACGGCGGCCATTAGCAGCCAGCACACCGCTGCCTTCATTGTCCTTATTTCAGAAGGGACGGATTTATTTTATTATCTGCAGTCAACATAAAACAAATGGGAGATAGTGAATATAGCGATAACAAGAGCCCTTAGACTTATGTACCGCTTCATAGTGCTTTACGGCCCTCTCTAAGCGGTTTGCAGAGTCAGCCTCTTGTCCCCCAACAATCTGGGTCCTCATTTTACCCCCGTTGGAAGGATGGAAGGCCAAGTCAACCTTGAGCTTGGTGAGATTTGAACTGCCAAATTGCAGGCAGCCAGCAGTCAGTAGTAGCCGCCTGCAGTACTGTATTCTAATCACTGTGCGACTGAGGCTCATAAATAAATAGACAAAGGGTCCATGGAGATTCTCCGTCATCCAGGTCACAGCTGTCCCAAAGATGCATGTTTTTTCCAAGGGGCAACTGGACTTTCTGGTTTTTCCCTGGAGACGTTTCCCTTCTCATCCCAGAAGCTTCCTCAGCTCTGACTGGATGGTGGGGGATGGAAGGGTTCATACTCCTTGCCGGCAGAGATGGTCGTTTGCGTCCTTTTTAGAGAGAGACGTTGAGGTCGCTTGGAGGTGGCCTCAGGGTCACCTGAGTGGGGCCAACGGGTGTGGCGTCTGCACAGTTCCAAGAAGGCACCACACCCATTTGCGCAGCACAGGTGACCCTGAGGAGGCAGATAAAACCTCCAAGTGGCCTCAAGGACTCTCTAAAAGGATGCAAATGACAGCTGTCTGCAAGGAGCATCAACTCTTCCATTCCCTACCATCCAGTCAGAGCAGAAGAATCTTCTCGGATGAGAAGAGACACGTCCTCAGAGAAAAACAAGGAAGTCCAGTTGCCCCTTGGGGAAAAAAAGCACCTTTGAGACAGTGGTGGGTTCTGGATCCCGGTGCGACGGGGCCCGGCGTCCACCACATGAATGCACGCAGCACGCGTATGCATCCTTACCTCCTGCAACGCTCCGCAATGCCTTCGTGATGCTCTAGCTGCTCGGTGGAGTGTCGCGCAGGCACCGTACACTCCGTTGCCCGTGTGCGGAAGCGCCGAAGAGCTCAAATACAGGTAAGGAGGGTAGGCAAGGCTGGCCCTCCGGAGCACCGTCCCGGAACAGTACCCGGTGCTCCCGGCACGCACCGGTACGCCCATACCGGTGCGAACCGCCTGCAACCCACCACTGCTTTGAGATGAATATCCAGTAGCACCAGAGCAATCCGAACAGAGCAGCCTGTGTTAAAACATTAACTGATCTTTAGCAAATGCCTCCAAGTAGGGAATGGTTGCTTTAAACCACGGCAGAGTTGGAAAGAAACAGTTGTCCCTTTGTTGAACCACGCAGAGGAATCCGTTCCTCCCGTTGGCCTGACTGAACCTTCCAGAAGGTTCTGGGAAACCACCAGACGAGTCGGGTTTCACAGGGCTGTGGTTCGTTTAGTGGCGGCATTGAGCCTGTCCGGGCGAGGTAGCTGTCGGGGGCTGGTGGTGGCAATCTGGGAGATGAAGTCCAGGCAGCTGAAGATGGCCAGGTTTTTGGAAAAGACGTTTGTTAGATGCTTGGAAGGACCTTATTATAATTTCTGTTTGGGAGTCGAGCATTGAGGGCTGTCCACATGGACCTCTCAAATTCCCGCAAGACTGAAAGGCCCTTCGTGGTTAAAAGCAGGAAGGTCTCTGGAGGACGTGGAAGATGGAGCAGGCTAGCCTCACATCAAAGCTTCCTCCCACCACCAACTAGTTAAAAAACTGTATAAACAGGAAACGGAAGCCGAAATCACAGCATCTTCTGCCCCCCAGGGAGGGCAAATCCTCGCAATTGGAATGGTCCCTCTCCGTATTTATACTTTCTTTCTTTCTTTCTTTCCTTCCTTCCTCTTCCTTCCTTCTTCCTCCCTCCCTTCTTGTCTTCCTCCCTCCCTCCCTTCTATCTTTTTTTCTTCCTTCCTCCCTCCCTCCTCATCTTCCATCCTCGCTC